TTATTAAAATAAAAACATAATTGTTTTTTTAATGGAGACTTGTTAAATGAGTGTGTATGAGCGATAGTCTATCTTTTCACAACAAATTTTAGTTAAATTTAAGTTCATTAATCTTGCAGAGCAATTTCAAAATTGTTTGATCCTTGTTTGTAATAAATGTTTTCTCCTGTCCTCTGTTGCAATTTTCCTTAATTTAATTTCATGGTTTGAAACCGCGTGGAAGAGTAGCTTTCCACGTGGGGCAGAGCGGATAAAAGCAAAGGAAGGTCACCGGTTACAAGCTTCCAAAGGCACATGCAAGCTTCGTCATTTTGCCGCAAATCAAATATCCCACCCATCTCAAATTTGGAAAAAGATTATATATACTGATAAAATATAATAATAATATTTCATAAATTCACTCTTTTAAAATAAAATTATAAATTTTTAAAAAATGCTCATACACACTTAATTATTATATTAAAATATCAATTTAATTTTCTCTCAGCTTAAAGAATAATATTAAAAAAATTTATCAATAAAATTTTATTTTTTTAAATTGTCTGATAATGAAATTTTTTAAAATTGTTTTTATAATTTGTGATGTTTGCGATATTTTTTTCTCCCTGCTCTCTCATGAATGTTTCTCAGTTGTCAATTGTTGCCATCAAGAATCAATTTTGGCGAACTGGGTTTTTGTCTTTTCATTTATTACCTCGCTCTGTCGGTCCCCCTAATTCAATTCACGCACAAATTCTTCTCTCCCTCCTCGCACATGCAGTCTGCAGAATTAAACGAATAGGTGGGGTGAATTCAATTCCGAAAATTATTTTGGGAGACTCTGACTCAGAGTCTCCGTAATACAAAAATTTATATTTAAAATTCAATATAATTTAAAAACTCTATACAGCTCCAAAGAATTTAAATGAAAATATGTTAATGACAAAAAATACACTTGCCCTTAGACATTGTGTTATCAATTACAAGACATTATCTTAAAAGTTTATAGACATTATATTATGTATTTATAGATATTATGTTGTTCTTTCATCCTACGCAACTTGTACATTTCACTCTAAATCAAATAATTTTCACTTGACTAATTGTACATTACATGACATTGGGTTGAAATTTTTTTGGACATTATATTGGGTATCCATGAAAATTTTATTTTTTTTATTCTACCCAACTTGTACATTTCAAGTTAAATCATTTCGATTAAACTAATTATATAATACAGGATATTATATTGTGAATTTATGGATATTGTGTTATATATTTATAAAGAGAAGAAGAACAAATGCGTCTTTTTTTATTAAAATATATTTTAACTTAAGACCTTGAGGTTGTAGAGAGTTTTTAAATTATATTGAGCCATAAATACAAATGTATATGTTTTGGAAGTACTAAGTGAGATTCTCTCAATTCTTTTCGGTGAGCCCAATTTTTGTTACCTACGACTTCGTTCCACAAGGCTCCTTTAACAATTTCACTGAAATCAAAAAGGGATAACTAAATTAATAGCTTTATTTTAAAATAGAATAAAATTTTAATTTTATCACTATTTAAGTAAAAAAATTTATATTTGCAATACATTCTCTATCATTATTAATGTGTTTAAATAAGGTTAATATTAGAAAAAAAAAACGTAACCAGTACTCTATCAAATATCATATATTAAAGATTAAATAATATTTTTAAAAGGTGCCCTATAATAGATATCAAATAGAGTATCTTTATTGTTTAATACTACTCCTTCTATCTTAAATTATGAGACACTTCAAAAAAATTATACATATCAATAAAGCTCATTAAATATATTTTATAACTTTATTTTTTTAAAAAATATAAACTTTCAAAAATGCCCTTAATTTAATAACCCATTTATATAAAAAAATGTTAATATGTAATTTGAATTTTTAACTATAAATTCAGGAGTAATTTGAATCCTAAACTTTTAAAAGGTGCATGCCGAGTCCTAAACAATTAAAGTTGGGGCAATTTCACTCCTATCATTAATTGTTTAGGATTCAGAATGCACTTTTTAAAAATTTAAGATTCAAATCGCTCCTAAACATATAGTTCAGAGTTCAAATTGCATATTAAGTCATAAAAAATATTTAAATAGAGAAAATATAATGGAAAAGGTAATATTGAAAAATAGAGCCAATAATTTGAGTCAAGTCCGATGAGCCAACCTGAACTTACCTGAAAAAAGTTAGGACCCGGCTTGATTAAATGGGCTTTTTAAAGAAGTATGATACTTTAAGTCAAATTCGAATAAGCTCGATCTAAATTGAGCTTGATCCAAATAAGCTCAACTGTTAGAATTTTTGGCTCTATATGTATATAGAGTTGGTAATTTTGGCTAAGCACGATAGGCCAGCCTGAACCCAGCCAAAAAGGTTAGGGGCCAGCTTAGCTATATAGGACTTTTTAAAAGGATATGATACTTTAAGCCCGATCCACTCGAATTACTGACTTTGTTGGAAAAGTATTATTAATGAAACTTTATTTTTATCATAGTATCTTTTTATTTGAGACATCAAATCTTCTTAAAAAGTATTGTATAATTTGGGATAGAAAGAGTATAACTTTATTAAGAGACATTTTTCAAGTAGTGTTTAAAAATGTAAGACATTTTAGGTCCTTATAGGTGTAATTGAAATAATTTTTTTAACAAATGCTCTTAATTAGGGTTGTAATTAATAAGCTTTTTTAAATGAAGCTATCTACACTCTCAATAAATTAGTTAATCATCTTTATAATTGTGCCCTTTTTCCATGTTTAATCTTACATGTTTAATAAGGTGTCTTAATTAAAAAATCTTATTACCTATACCTCCTAATTAAGGTATTTAAAAAATTTATTAATTGCACCTTAAACTCAAAATGCTTTATATTTTTGAATATAATACTTCAAAAATAATATTTTACAATATTGAACCAGGCGAGTATTCCTTAATGGGTAAAACAATAAGGGTAAAGTTGCATTTTTATCCTATCACTTATTTTCAAAGAACACTTGGCACTGTGTATTGATAAGTGAGACAATTTTTTCTTAAGTATTTTTAAAAGGAAGATAAATTCACTTCTATTAATTACCTGTTTAGTCTCCCGTTTTTTTTATGATGTGTCATGGTGTAAGGCTCAAGCAATTTGACAGGTAGGATGCTAGCACAACACCTATGATCGCCTTCGTCTTCATTTGCCCAAGCAGTTCTGTGAGCTTCCATTGATGGGTTTTCCAGTAATTTCCCACAGCCAAAACAAAGGGGCAAATGTGAGCCCAAAATAAAATTAGAAACCAATAAAAACATAAAAGCTAGAGCCTTACATGCATAGGATGAAACCCAAAAACTATGCCCTTCGGCCAATTCAAGATGCAGTGATATTCCATTATACCCTAATATTCTTTTATATTTCCTTTGGTACAGTGAAAATAATTTTGACAAAAATAAAAATAGATATGAAAGAGGAAATGGATATGAAATAGATACGAGATTTCAAAATATACTTAGTATATTCATGAAATCGAAAGATTATTTTTGTTTAATATTAAAAAAATTAAAAGATTAAAATGTCATCATCGAAGAAGGGACCGCCCGATATTTTCTCATCCTTCCTTCTCCGTCTTCTTCACTTCACATCACATTTCATTCTTTTTCATCTTCAATCTTCTATGATCTTTTTTATATGCCTCTCATGGTCTATCGTCAATCTAGCTTCAAGTACTTTTGCAAAATATGCAAAAAAGGGTTTGGCTATGGCCAAGTTCTCGGAGGCCACATGAGGATGATTCCGGACTCTCCTTTTCATTATGAATGGAGCAGTGGTTTTGTGGCAAAAACTCAAACCCAAGACCATCTTAAGCCCCCTATTTGGTTAAATGCAAAAAGTGCATGCTGAGGGAGATTGATAGATGCACATATTGTCAAGGGAGATGCTGGGGAGAACAATGTTTGGATTGTTAATGTGGTTGCTAAAGTGGGTGTCGATGGCGGCGGTGGATGCATTGCCACTAATAGTGTCGTGGGTGATAAGGGCTATGCAAAATTTTTTTGATCCATTCTAACTTGAGATAGTTCTATCTTGTCTGATCTATATAAACATTGATCCTTCAAAACTAAAAAGACTGAAATGATCAAACTATTTCTTCAAGTTGGACTGGATAGGACATTGGATATATGAACCACTGGGTCTAGTCCATTCTTATTAATTTATTTGATATAATTATAATTAATTTATTTTTAACAAATACTTCAGTGTAATTGATGCTAAAGAGATGATTTCATGAAGATTTGTTAAGTTTATTTCTAAATTATTGTTGTAATATGTGTTGTTGAAATTTATTGAGTATTGTTTTTGTTGAAATTATAAATTTAAATCATTTGGATTGTAACTGAAATATGTTTTTCTTGTTATTGAAAATTATTATGATCATAAGTGTTTTTATTATCTTAATTGAGTTTATTAGATTGGAATGGATTATTCTCTTACAGATGACAAAAGAAAAAAAAAACTAACTGAGTATTGGACCAACAGGATCAGTCTCTCAATTCTATGGACTAAGTTTGATCCTGTTAACTTTCAGATTATCATTGAACAAGATCAGATTATGGGTTGCCTAATCCAATCTTTTTCATGAAAGAGACCAAACTTCATGTTAGGCCAAAATTTAGTACCATCCAATCCTTTGTACAACCTTAGGTGATACTAGTTAGATGGTCAAGAAGCCAAACTTTACATATTGGAAGCCAAGTCACATGATAATGGCTCCATACCATGACACCTCACCCAAAAAAAAGAAAAAGGAGAAGGAGAAGCTAAATGGCTAACTAATATAAGGGGATTTTTGCTACTCTAAAGTCTAAAATATAGTCTAAGGGAAATTATTACACTTACCTATATAAGATGCTTAATGCTCTTAAAAAATAAGTACAAATGTAAAAATGTACTTTTTTTTACCAAAGAGGATATTCATTCATGAGGAAACAAAATGAGTCTGATGGAGGACAAAAACAAAACAAGAAAGCATATAAAGTCATAAGCCAAAGGCATGGCAAAGACCTAAACAAGACAAATAAAGAAAGTCAATCAGCCAATGCCTTCTTTGTCCTGATTGTGCACAAATTGCTGAACTTCCTCACCATGTGCCAAAGAATCTCGTTGCATGATATTGATCAGAGGGAGTGGGGCATGGAGAAGCCAACCGCTTGAGATCACACCCTTTAGAGAGGAGGCAACCATCCAGTCGGCAGCAGTATTTCCATCTCGTTTCACAAACAAGAAAGAAAGAGAGGGCTGAGATCCTAAGGTAGCAAAAAGATTAGTAAGAATCCCATGGTAAGGCCAAGCATAGCTTGAAGCATTATGACTTGTAATCGCATTAAAAAATTCCAGACAATCTAATTCCACCATAACATGACGGTCAGGAAAGTTATCAACAATATTTATAGCCTTGGAACACGCTAATAATTCTGCCATGAAGCTTGAATCAGCATGAACATGTTCACTCCAGCCTTTAAGAAAATCCCCAGAGTGGGATCTGTAGACGATGCCAATTGCAGCTTTACCTGAGGCTGAGGAGAAAGCTCCATCACAATTAATTTTTATGATATCTTGTGCAAGGGGCAACCATCTAGTATCAATTACAGCAGGAGTAGGACGCAATACGGGATCTTTTGGCTTGAGGGACCAAAATTCTTGCACTGCAACATGAGTAGCCTGTAGAACCTTATAAGGATCAATTGCACTAGCATTGAAAACTGAGGCAGACCTGGTTTTCCAAATATTCCAGCAGAGACAAGCTATATAAGCTTTATCATAATCCTTCATAAGATGCTCTTCTAGTAAAAATTTTGAACACTAGATCTTAAAGGATGAAATTGCATGGGGGTTAATAATGATAGTCAGAGTAGAACCATACCAATCTTTTTTGGCCCATACAGTATATGTTCTATAGTTTCAAGTATAGCCTTGTAGATAGGACACGGGGGGTCAGAGGCACATTTTCTAGAGTAAAGAGCATCTCTAGTGGCTAAAGAATGAGTAAGGCCACGCCACATGAAATGTTTTATTTTAGGATGACTATGAAGATGCCAAATAGATTTCCAAAGGGTGCTAGGGAAAGTAGTAGAGGTGGATGGATTGGTGATGGGAGGAGTGTGGGCTCTTGAGTACTCCAATCAGTAACCAAGCTTAGGAAGATATTTTCCAATTTTAAAACCAGTCCAGACTATAGTGTCCGATATAGGAGTGCATGGTATATGCAATTTTTTAATGCATTCTAAGGTTTTATCAGTCATCAGATGGTTAACATGATTCAGACTCCATGCACCATTAGAAATCAGGTCTGCCACTTTGAGGGTCTTGTCTACAACAACATTATCCTTCTTAATAACCTTGCATTCAGGTAAACCTAGAACCCATGGATCAGTCCATACACAGATATCTCTGCCATTACCAAGCCGAATGCATAAGTCCTTTAAGAGGAAGTCACGGCCTGTGAGAATACTTCTCCAGGTCCAAGAGGCTTTAGGACCACGACTAGCCTCTAAAAAGGAGCTATTCGAAAAATAAACCGATTTCAAGACTTAAGCCCATAAATGATTGGGATTACTTAGCAAACGCCAAGTTGTTTGAGCGAGTAAGGCATCATTAAAGTTTAAAAAATCCCTAAAACCCAGACCACCTTCACCTTTTGGAGCACATAGTCTATCCTAAGATTTTCAATGAATACTATTATGAACACTAGACTGGCCCCAATAAAAGTTTGCTACTAAATTGTTCAATTCCATACAGGTTCGTTTAAGGAACTTAAAGCAAGTCATAGGAAAAATAAGGATGGCATTAATAACAGACTTAATCATAATTTCATGCCCAGCAAAGGTAAGGAACTGTCCCATTCCGTCTCGGATATAAGCAAGAGCAGCCACTTGATCTTCCCCATAAAATCGGGAGACCAAGATAAGGTCCTGGGTTTCAACTGCATTCACATGTAAGAAAGAGTACACCTCTTATTTGGTCATTGAGGGGGAATTAGTTGAGGAAAAAAAGGATGACTTGTTGTAATTCATTCTTTGGCCAGAAGCATAACAACAGGATTGAAGGAGCTCTTTGATTACACTACAATTCTTTCGATCAGCATGCAAGAAAAGGATTGTATCATCAGCAAATAGGAGGTGTGTAAGCATAGGGCATTCATCAGTAATTTTAATACCAGTAAGATCACCCAACTTAGCATGCTTACTTATCATTAAAGATAATACTTCACTAGCAATAATAAAAAGGTAAGGAGAAAGTGGGTCTCCTTGCCTAACACCCCTTTTAGGCACAAATTTGGCAATAGATTTGCCAGATATCAGAGTATTAAAGGCTGAGCATTTGGCACATTTCATGATCCAATGAACCCAAGTTACGTAAAAGCTCATTTTTACAAGGACAGCCTTTATAAAATGCCATCCAAGTCTATCAAAGGCCTTAGTCATATCCATTTTGAAAGCAAAGTAATAATCATCACTAGTCCTCTTGAGTTTCAAAAAGTGGAAAATTTCATGAACCAGGATAATGTTGTCATGAATAAGGCAACCTGGAACAAAAAGCTCTTTGATGGGCAGAAACACATTGGTCCCGAATACTCTTGAAATGATTAGCCAGAATCTTAGAAATTACTTTAAGAGCAAAGTTGCATAGGCTTATTGGGCGGAATTGAGAAACTCTTTCAGGTCTTTCAATTTTTGGGATCAGCACAAGATTAGATTCATTCAAAATACCCAGATCTTCATTCTTCAATAGGAAATTATTGACCAGTTTGAGAAGTGAATCGATGACCTCATCCCAAGCAGATTGATAAAAATGCCCACTAAAGCCATCTGGCCCTAGAGCCTTTGAAGCACCTAACTAGAAAGTAGCTTGTTTTACTTCTTCTTTTATAACTGGTGACGTAAGCCAGGCATTTTGAGAATCTGAAACACAAGGATTCATATAGCTAAGGACTAAGTTAAGATCTCTTGTATTACTACTAGAGAATAAGTCTTTGTAAAAACCAGAGATTAAATGGGCGATATTGGTTTCAGATTCAATCCACTAACTCGAGTCATCTTTGAGTTTCACAACTTGGTTCTGTTGCCTTCTAGTGAGGGTAGAAGTATGGAAGAACCGAGTGTTGAGATCACCTCCAGAAATCCAGTTAACTTTGGAATGTTGCCACCAGTAGGTTTCCTCTAGCTTCCATAGTTGCTCCAGTTCATTAGTAAGGTGCTGCACCATAATTCTGCTTTCCTCATTGAAATACTCATCTTTGACTTTCCCTATTTGGAGGAAAATACGATCTATTTCTTTTCTATTATTTGGGAAAGCTTTCTTGCTCCAGGCCATGAGCTCCTTACTACATCTCTTTGTACAGCTTACAAATTGGGGTACAATTAAATCAGCTTGAGGCTCTTCAAGATATCAGGATTTTTTGACAACCTTCTTAAAGTATGGATGTGTAGCCCAGTTGATTTCATACTTGAAAGTGCGAGGAGTTTTTTGGTCTTGATAACAGAGGCATACCAATAAGAAGTGATGGTCCGAAGCAACAGAGTCGATGGGAATAGAAAGAGCCTTAGGGAAGTATTCCTGAAAAGCTGAGTTAGCCATTGCCCGATCTATTCGCTCTTTGACTCTTTCCTCTTCCGACCTTTGATTACACCATGTGAATCTTGAGCCTTTAGATTCCGGATCAATTAATGTTACACGAGACACCAACAATTAATGTTATACAAGACACCCTTTTGCAAAGTTGCATCTTCTTCCAATATTTTAACAAGAAACTTTTTCGTGGATCATAATCAAAATATTATTTGTTCCATCCTTAAGTGCAAGACATTCACAAACTCATTACTCTATTTGGCACATTTAAGTTTAATGTTTTTCATGACTTTTTTTAATTAGCTTCCTTGTCAATGTTGTCATTAGACCTTTTTTACGTACACTGCAAAACTGTTGTCTTTTAATGTTATTGATTTATTATTGATCCTTTTATAAAAAAATCAGGGGCCAAACTCAGTTTGTGATTTATATCAAAATTTAAAAAAATTAAGACAATGCTTGATAACAAAGATAGGAGAGAGTAAGGGCTTATTTGATAACCTGTTCTAAGAATAATTTTTTATTCTCTAAAATAAAAAAATAAAAAAAATTGTTTAGTAATATGTTTTCAAAAAATATTTTAGAGAATAAAAAAATAAAATATTATTCTAAAAAAAAAATAAAAAATAACTTTAAGATATTTTGAGATTATTATTCTGAAAAATAAAAAAGAATGAAAAAATATTTATTTTTATTATTTTTTTATTTTCAAAATATATTTTATATTTTTAAAATAATAAAATAAAAATAATTTTAAACAGCCTTAAGTCATAGCTCTAGTTTTAAAACCAGTCCCTGTTACTTTGCTTCCCTGCAAAGTTTTGATTTTGATGAAACTTGGGAGAATTTTTGACCGTAACTAAGCAAATAAGTTTTGAAACTTGGAGTTGGCTTCTCTCGACTTTGAGAGAAATCTTTCCTGCCTCTCCTTTGAGTTAAGAAAAAAATTTGAACTGTTTGAATTTAATTTAAATAATTCAAATTTAATAGTTTTATTTTTATTTTTTATTTATATTTTTAAAATCAAAATATATAAAAATTATAAAATTTTTTAATAAATATATTTATCAATCTGACCGTTTGAATTCAATATAAATGATTCAAATTTAATATAAAAAATTTAAATTAATTTTTTAAATATGTTCTGAATAATGTAAATATATTTTAAATAGAATAGTAAATTTATTAAAATAATTTAATATTAAATTTAGATTATTTATATTAAAACTAAACTGTCAAATTAATAAGTATATTTATTAAATTTTTTACATTTATATTTATTTTTTATTTTAAAAATATAAATAAAAAATATTAAATAAAAATATTAAATCTAAACTATTTAAATTAAATCTAAACGATTTAAATTAAATCTCTACTTTAGATGAGAGACAGAAGAGGCTTGTCTTACAAGGGAGATGCCGAGTCCCTGAAACTTGCAATAAGTGTAGCTCCGAGGGGCTAAGAAACAAAGCGCACATAGCCTCCCTACCATCTCTGTGCAAGTGGGGCCTCCTCTGTTCTCACGGACGGTCGCTATGCAAATGCAACTTAACATGTCCTCTTTATGCTGTTGCTGATGACTCCTGCAAAAAGAAACCTAAAGCTTCCCCTTGCACATGGGTGCAACGCAACACTATATCTTCCTTTTCATTTCTTTTACTTTTTTAATATTTTTATTCGTTGTTCGTGCGTCAACCTTTTCCTATTTTCTTTTCTTATTTGAACTAGGGTGTTCAGTTTGAACACATCCTAACTGGCCGATATCGTCTCAATATCTCGACTAAAAAATAATCAGGACGGGACAGAAAAGGGGTTCGGGACGGGACGAGACACAGGATTACCATCGGAACGTCCCGTCCCGTCCTGAATATTATATATATTATTTTTTATTTTAAATATATTAATTATATTAATATAATTTATACTTATATTAATTATATCAATTATAATTTTAATACTTACAATTCTTATTTAAAACTAAATTTTTTTTATATTGATAATTTTAATGGCATTTAGTAAACATGACGATATTTTTCTTTATAATATATTAATTATATTAATATAATTTATTCTTATATCTATCTATTTAATAACTTTTATTTATAACATATTTCTTGCTTATTTTTTGAAGAGTAATTAGCTTAGTACATCTTCATTAAAGTAGAAGAATAATGATTTGATGTTGTGTTTGACTTGTCTGTTGTTGCTAATCTTATAGCATAAAGATCACTTATATTTGTTATTATAATATGTAGTTGTGATTAATATAATTCAATAACTAATTTTAAATTATTGTTATTTATGTGCTTGTGTTGTTTTGATTTTAAACTTAACAAATTATATGATTTAAAATTTTAATGAACGTTATTGTCCAAATCTTTTTTCGACATTATTCCTATCATCCCGATCTTATCTCAATCCTATCCTGATTTTTAACGGGACGGGACGACTTTTGGGACGGGACGGGACACGGGATCAAAATTCAGTCTTGATTTTTTTTTTCGGGCCAGGACATGGGACAGGGGTGTCTCGGTCCCGTCTTGATCTCGTCCCATCCTGTGAACACTCCTAATTTGAGCCTCCGGAAGGCAAATCTTCTCCTGCCCAGCTCGCTGCTCGTTTGTGTCTATATCCGTCCACCTATGAGCATCCCTTTTTCGAATGGACACTGTACTAATGGTAGTTATCAGTATTATCAGCTATAATAAGCTAACCAGTGCACTGATCTTAATGGAATGGGCTGCTTAAGTACGAAGTCTCTTGTTCGAATTCGTATGAGTATAAAAATATTTTTGAGAATTAATTCCAACTACACCAAACAATACTTAAAGTTAATTCAATAAGATAGTTATATAAAAAAAATAATAGTATACTAAGATTTTATAATTTTTACTTGAGTAGGATACTTCTCCCAACATGATCCTTTTTTTAAGTCACAAGGTTCGAATTTTTAATCATATTTAAAAGAAATTAAATCTTTTTTATAAAATCATCATTAGTATTAATGATCTTTTTGATAAGGTGTTGGAGACATTTTTCATGTAAATTTAAAAATTATTATATTATTTTATTTGTTAAAAATATTATCTCAATTTAATTTTCAATTATATTCTTATTTATTAAAGGGATATAAATATTATTACAAAATCTGTAATCAATAAAAAAAATATAAGAGTGAAATTTACAACTACAATACTTTTTTCTGAACAACGTATTTAGTTTCCTGTTAAAAATAATCAAAACTGAGAAATTATCTGCTTATACTAAAACCAGGCATTAACTTGACGATTTCTTGCAGAAAACCAAATGTGCGTGTTTAATTGATATAAACCTTCTCATTTACAATTGTGTGTCTCAACTTACTTTGAAAATCAAGAAATCTTGCAGTCCATAATAGCAATGTTATAAGTCCCATGAGACTAATAAAAGAATTTCAGGGTGAACGTGTTTTTCTAGACAACATCTGCCAATAGAACGCTAACCTTCCAGTGACTTCTTGTTATCCTCCTTTCAACACTTCATATCCATGGAATTACATATCAGGTTGGAGCATATGGATGAAGAAGGTAGAAACAAAGAATCTGGCAAAATCTAGTACAATGGAATTCTGATTGTCTGCATACCATTACTATAAGGAAGAGGACTCATCATTATCTCTTATGCTTTAGAGCTGCACTTTGGTAGATCAAAAACTAGTACAATAATTAGAGTTGATAAATGGGCGGGCCGAGCCCAGTACAATGGAATTCTGATTGTCTGCACACCATTACTATAAAGAAGAGGACTCATCATTATCTCTTATGCTTTAGAGCTACACTTTAGTGGATCAAAAACTAGTATAATAATTAGAGTTGATAAACGGGCGGGCTTAGCTCATATGGGCTCAGCCCTTATGAGTCTAGGCCCTAAAGCTCGATTACTCTAATTTTATCCTAAGATTAAAGTCCGGCTTTAATTCAAAGGGCTTAGGGCCGGGCCCATAAGCCTTGATAGGAATAAAATAAAATAAAATTCAACATTAAAATTTACTTAAAATATTTTAAAATTCAACATACATCCAACCAAAGTCTCACATAATTTAAAACATAAACAAAAAATTTAAAAGTCCAAATAAGATGAAGACAAACATTATCATCAATCCTAATCAAGATCCCCCTCATCATCATCCACAAATAAAATATTGGAACCCTCAGATGTAGGTCCACTTGTGGAAGGTGGAGGTGGAGGCTCAATATCAACTATCTCTATAGCTTCTTCATCAACATCACCTATAATAATTAACAATTAAATTGTGTCATTATCAAATATATATCTATACATATATCACAAGATAAAATATAAAAATTACTATAAAATGGCACAAAACCATTCAACCAATTGCGGGTACAAATCAATGCTTGCACATTATCCGGAAGGAGGTGGCAACGATACTTTGTGAGAACACGGGAGCCGATGCTAAATTCCAATTCACTAGTTACTGTGGTGATCGGAATACTCAGAACATCACATACCATCCTTGAAAGATTGGGAAATCATTGTTGATTAGTCTTCCACCAATGCAACACATCTAACTCTGGCAACTGGTGACTATCAAGCGAAGCTTTTTCCAAATAGTAATCTAATTTAGATTTTTTAATGGAAGAAGTATCCCTACTCTCGAAATTAAGGAAGTCCTGCATATAAAAAAAATCCAAATGTATCAAATAAGAAATTACAATTTATAAACTAACAATAATGATATAAAAACTTACACCATAAGCTTGAGTCCAAGACATGGTTGGTTCCCTCTTCTTCTCTAACATCCTTCCACTAGTGCTTGAGCTTGGTTGACTTTGTGTTGGAGTTGAACTTAGTGAGATCCACCCATTTCTTTATATTGATCAAACATACAATACAACTTCTGCTTGATATTATTAACTTTCATGAAGTAATTTACAGGATCAATCAGTGAATAAAAATACTTAATCACTTCAAGCTTTGCTCGTGGATCAAAAACACTTTCAATAGAAAGGATTACACTATAGTCACTCCAATACTTGTCAAATTTCTCCTTCATTTTAATTGCCATACTAGAAATCACAAGATCACGATTGCCAATGGCTTCATTTAACAAAATATCAATTTTTGATATTTGCCCAATATACATATTTGAGGTAGGATAGGATGTGCTAGAAATCAAAGTTGTAATGATTGCAAATGGCTGTAAGAAAGTGCTCATTTCCTCTGCTCTCCTCCATTCTTCATTCGACAGGCAGTGTTTAAAACTAGTGTCACGACAAGACATGCAAACAAAAGCTCTTTTATATCTAATTCCACTATCAAGCATATCATAGGTGGAATTCCATCTGGTAGGCACATCTAATCACAATCCTATTGAGGTGTCAATGCCACCAACTTGCTGAATGCATTGCCTGAAAGTCTTCATCTTGGACTCTAACATCTTAACATATTTAATGCTTTCTCGAATTTTATTTATCGCAACATTTGTTACCTTTAAACCTTCTTGAACTATCAAGTTCAAGATATGTGCACAACACCTCACATGAAAAAATTTCCCATCACAAATCAAGTTATTTTGCAAAACCAACATTTCTTTCAAGATTTCAGCCATACAATTATTTACAAATACATTGTCTAAAGTAATTGTAAAAACTTTCTTTTCAATCCCCCACTCACACAAGCTATCAAAAACTTTGCTAGCTAATTTATGTCTAGAATGTGGAGGTTCCATCTTACAAAAAAAAAGTATTCTACTATTAAGTTTCTAATTTTCATCCACAAAATGTGCTGTCAAGCAAATATAACCTTCGAATGTTACAACAGTCCAACAATTAGAGGTCAAACAAATTTTGCTAGGACTCTTTGATAAAATCACTTTCAACTTCTCTTTTTGGAGCTCATAAAATCTCCTAACATCTGACACAGCAGTTTTCCTACTCATAATCTTAACATCAGGATTACATTCCTTAAGCAGCTGTCTTAAAAGAGGAAATTCAATAAAGGAATATGGCAAATCATGTTCAACAATCAACATCCCAACAACTCCCGAATACGTGGATTATTAATTTGTCTAGGCCTAACATTGCCTTCATTATCTAACATCATTAAGCCTATATTATGAAACTTTGGAAGAGCTACACACTGTTTAACATGTCGATTTAGATGTGAAGTGCCATGATTTCCACTACTAGCTAGCAAAGTGCCACAACCATTACACTTTGCTTTTGTTGCTCCCTCTTCATTAACCACTTTAGAAAAGGACTTCCAAACATCTGAAGTATAACTTTTAGCTTTCTTAGGTGGTTTCTTGTTGAATGTAGTAAATTAGGTGGGAGTTGATTCTTTATTACTTTCCTCCTCAACTAACTTCTTACTAGTTTCATTACTTTTGGCACTAGATGATGACATACTACAAACAAGCATAAATCATACAATCAAAACTAAAAATAAAATAACAGAATAGTATTACAAGGCCTAATTTATCAGGATCAGAAATAAAATCATATAATCAAAATTAAAAATAAACTAACAACATTCAAAGCATATCAAGATAGAGGAGGCAGAGGATCAAAAACCAAGAATCAACAATTAGAATTGAGACCATAAATAATCAAAAACCAGAAATCAACAATACCAAATCGAAAGACAATCAGAGCAGCAACCAACACTAAATAACTAGAAGTAGATCAAGATAAAGGAGGCAAACCTGAAAGGCGAGAGGAGGAGGAGACCACGGCGAGACTGTAACTATGAGGCTGAGTTGACATTGAGACTGTGAGACTGAAACTGAGAGGCGAGAGGGAGAGGAGACCACGGCAGAACGAGCTTGAGACTAAGATTGTGAGGCACCAACGAGCTCAAGACTTTGAGACTGAGACTGAGAGGCGAGAGGTGAGATTGTGATTGAGGACTATGGCAGAGAAGATTTCAAGACTGTGACTGATTATGGCAGAGACGAGCTCGAGACTGAGAGGCGAGTAGCGAGATTGTGATTGCAGTGGAGATGAGCTCGAGACTGAGATTGAGACTAAGTCAGGAAACGAGACTGTGACTGCGGACTACGGTACAAAGGAGCTCTAGGACTGAGATTGAGATAAGATTGAGAGGCTAAGAGACGATAGAAGGAGCTGAGAGTGAGAGCCTGAGAGTTTGAGATGAGATGAGAGGCTGAGAGGGAGAGACAATTCTGAGAGTGAGAGACTGCTGGTCTGCTGCGTGCCTGCATGGTGGTGGTATGCTAACTGCTATGTGCCTGGCTGCCTGCGTTGTAGGGTTTCTTTGGAAGGAATTGGGTTGGACTTTCAAACCCAATTCTCAAACCCAATTCAGCCATAATATAAAAGCTAAAAAAAAAGTAAAACGGGCTTCACGGGCCGCCCGGGCCCAAGCCCCTTTTTTTAGGATTTAAAAGGGCCGGGCTTTGAAGCCCAGTTATTCCAAAAAATACCAAATTTTCAAGTCCAAACCCTTATTAAAATAGTCTTAAACGGACAACCTGTCAAGTCCAGTCCTTATTCCCAACTCTAACAATAGTTACAATATCAACTCCTCTCCACTACATCTTATTTGCTTCAGGAAAAAGCTCATTATGAACACATGGTCTATATACTATCCATGAGCTCCAATTAACAACAACGTTTTTGCTGCACATATAACTCTTCACTCGCTAATTTTCAGCATTTTAGTGTCCAAGTTACAACCGGTGAATATTCCTTTTCATATTTTTAGTTTCTCAGTATAGCTTACAGAATTTAACCTTAATTTTAATCTTTTTTTCTATAATATAATCTTTTGTTTTCCCTAAAAAAGAAAACGAGACGTTGTGCATGGAAAACGACAAGCCTTGATTTGAAGTTTTTATTTTACGTGCAAGGCATGGGTGTGAAAATTGAAATATATATATATATATATATATATATATATGTTTGTATGTATGTATATAAAGCGGGATTCTTGCCATTAGTGTATCCTAACAATTTTAATTAAGACTACTTACCGGTATGCTTTCTTTCAGTTAGGCACACTGCTTGTCTTCGACTGCCTGAATGAATTACGAAACTAGTATAAATAATAAATAAATGATGAATCATTTATGAAATTAGGAGACTCAGAGTGGGAAAAACATAGATGCGAGTGCAAGTTTTATTAAAAAGAGACGGTGGAGTGTCAAGTGTCAGAACGATATTTGGTAGTGATTGTCCATATCAGGCAGGAGGCAGCCTTTCGACCGATTCGGCGCGCGGCTGTCCTGCGCTCCCGCTTGGAAGCAAACAGATACTCCCTCGTTGAAAAATATTAAAACCTCGTCGCTCAATAAAATAATTATATATTTTTATATTAATTTTATTTTTTATATTTATTTTTATTAAACATTTACAATAATATAAAGTCATTCATTAATAAAAATATTTTAAAAAAATTAATAATTATATCTCAAAAATTAAAAATATTTTATATTTTTAAACATCTAACTCTTCAAAAAATATCTTATATTTTTAATAAAGAGAGTATGTCTTTTTTTCCCGATAAAATGACAATTAGGACACCTTAAGATGATTAATTACAATTAAAAACTCTAAATTATGAAAATCTCAAATAATGAATTATAATCCTTATTTAAAATTAAAAAAAATACCAATAGTTGAAAATATCACTCAAAAGCAAACTTTAGTAAATTTTTAAGTAATTATTATATATTTACAAATGCACTTGAAAAATTTTAAAAATAAATTAAAAAATCACATCCAACTCCCCTTAAGAGAATTAATTATAGATAAGGATCAATGTGAAACGGATTATTATTAAAATAAAAATATAACTTGTTTTTTTTTAATGAGACTTGTTATTGATCCTTATTTATGATTAATTCCTTGAAAAGTGAGGGGGGTTGAATGTGATTCTCCCAAGTGAATTTTAGTTTCTACTAGAAAACAATCCATCACAACTATCACTCCTTCATTTTTCAACTTTGATTAACAATATTCTTATTATATGATAGTAATTTCAGCAGTTTCGTTTCTTTATTTTTAGGTGGAGGGTAATTTTAAAAACTTGTATATATTTTTAATTTTAAATAAGGATCATGATTTATTATTAAAATTTTAATAATTTAAAGTTTTTAATTATAATGAATGACCTCAGGAAGTCCCTAATTGTGATTTACCCTCCCCCCCTCTTTTCCTTATGCAATTCGAGCACTCTGCCCTATCTTTTTGTTTCCAATAAAAATAAATTATATTAAAAAGGAAAACAAATAAATAAATAATCATAAAGAAATTAAAATTCCAGATCAAGACAACTGGAACTAGGGGTATTGGGAGATGGAAAACCCATAAAAGCAAAAAATTAAATTGAGGGAAAATTTGAAGCAAGAAGAAGATATCTGAATTGGTAACGCAACTTTGCTTTTCAATTGCTGGAATATGGAGTCCCCCATTACGGATAATGTACAAATCTTCAAGGGGAAGTTGATAACCGACACTACAAGCAAGGATCCATGAAATGGAAGAGCGAATACAAGAATTGTGGAAATAAGGAAAAAAAATATTGCTTTTCTTTTTTCTCTAGCTAAATGTCTGTAAGATTGAATTCTTAAAAAAAAAAAAATTAGAGATTAAGCAAATTGAGTATTCAGAGATCTTCCTTCTCTTACTCTAGATACCCCATTCTATTGACAAGAGATGATTGTAGCTACTAAATAAAGATAAATCAAATGTTCGCTAAGGCTTGTTAACATCAAAATTTAAAGTATAATCTGGTTTTCAAATATTTACTCTACTCTATCTTTAATATGAGGTTAAATTAATTAAGTTCATGTTTACTCAAAAATATTAGTTATAACCTGAACTTGTTAAAAAAAATAACTTTCTAATTTTACCTTTCTCTAAAATTTATAACTATAATAAATTGTTGTTTGAAAATTTAAATGACAATAAATATATGAGGGGTGCAATTGAAAAAAAGAGCATTAATTATTCTAACATCAATATAAGCACAATAAATATAAGGACAAAAAACTTTTAGGAAAAATGACCATCAGGGACCCCATAAGGATATTAATGACAATTATAGATCATAAATTATTAAAATTCCAATAATATACTATGATCCTTATTTGCAATAAAAAATTTCGGGTAGTCAGTTGGGAAATATACTAAATACACTCGGGATTATTTATATGTCAGTCAAAAATTTATGAGAGTCAGCTGTGGATCTCAATTTTTTGCTGTCAATATACAAATAAATTATTTAAAAAATTAAGTAAATACACTTGAGATTATTTGTAATATTAGTTGGTAATTTATGAGAGTTAATTGTGAATTACAAACCAATCACCTGTGATTTTTTTTACTATCAATATGTAAACAGATCACTTGTAAAAACTACAAGATATATTTGTGATTATTTGTAATATTAGTGAGAAATTTGCAAGAGTCAGTTGTGAATTGTAAGCCAATCACTTATGATTTTTTGATATCCCTTGAAAAATTAATAAAAGATAGTTGAAAATCTTTGTAGTGTTTTGAAAATTAACAAAATATATGACAGCCACTACGTGCAACTCTCAATGGATGCCACTTCATCCATGATCATATAAGTTCCATGCATATGTAATGGCATAACTTTAACCATATCAAGTCATGTTCAACAAAATCATGAACTTAAACCATTCAATTCATCACATGCTCAAACTCAATTCATCAAGCCATACCCAAGATGCACAAGAATTATGTTATCACATAATACATATTTTTTGCCAATCATAATTTCATTCCAACATGCTCAAGAATCACATCTTCATGACACCAAATCATATATGCAAATAATCATGCTCAACTCATGGGTACATATTTCATGCCAACAAGATGCTACTAGTAAGTCGCAAACACAATCATATGCTAAAATTAAACTCCCATTTATCTTAACCCTTAGGCTATCACCTTAAGAATATAGTTTAGATTTCTGAGGGAGCTTCCCATGGCAATAAACTCCAATAATAATCAATCTATAATAATAATTAAAAAACAACATTAATGACTAATTATCATTAAGGTTAATGATAATTAAGGATTTAATCCCTCAATAAGCGTGATTAACTAAGATTCACCCCATTTCTCACTTCCATTAGTTTATTTAACCCTCATTAAGCTTTATAAATTATAAACATTGTTAACCAACTACACTAACATAAAATAGTTTTACTTAGCATTAGGGTTAAGCTTAAACCCATAATTAACAGTCATTACACACTGTCATTAGCATAGAATAATGACTAAAAGCTTGAAACAACACCCTTAGACCCCATTAGAGTCATTAGAATGAGTAGAACTCAGTTATAAATTTAGACAGCAACTCCAAAAATCCAAACATTGAGAAAAATGCATAGAGAGGTAGGAGAAGTGGAAAAGGAAGCTTACCCATTGATTTGAAAGCCTTAAACTACTCGTAATGGAAGCCACAAAGCAACCCTATTAGAGAACTCCTACTTGCTCTTAACCCCTCTCTTAAAATTTCTTTCTGTTTTACTATCTAAAGGCATCTCTAGAATTTTAAATTTTATCGTGTTCACTATCGCAGATTGCCAAAAATGGAAACTCTACTAAATCCCAATAATTTGAGCCCGAACATTCTAATGGCTTCTTAGGCCCTATTGTAAACCTTATATGGGATCCAATGGACCTAAATGGCCATACAAACACTATAATTAAGTCTTAATTACCCTAATTAATTAATTAAACTTCTCAATTAGTTTAACTAATCCTTAACTTAAATTTTAGGATTCTACCTGTATCGTCCATTGTGACAGAAGTGCAAAATTTGATTTAAATCATAGGCAATCATGGCTAAGATTGAAGAAGGGAAAAGGGAGAAAATGAAAGAGATATGCTTCTAGTCTGTTAGGGCACACAAGAAACATCCTTGGGGTGTTTGTTTGGAGCTCATATCATTTGGGTAAGCTTCTTACCTTCCCTTTCCCTCTTTCTATATGATTTTCTTCCAGGTTTTGCATTAAGGGAGGATGATTTCATGCTATAAGGTGCTGGGTCCAAACCCATTGGCTTTGATGGAGTCATTGGGGGCTTTTAATGTTCCTAAACTATGGGTTGGTGTTTTTATGGAGTTATATGTTTGAGTTCTCATGTTTGGATGAACCTTAGCCATGAAATTGATTATTGGAAATGGGAGTTGTGAAATGGAATTATTTAGCTTAATGGAAGTTAAATGAAGATAATAGGTAGTTGTGGGAGCTTGGGTTGTGGATATGCCAATGCATA